GCGGCCTCCTTCCAGCCACTCAAAGCATCTGACTGGCAGCTAAAAGGATGTTTTTACCTGATCATAAATAATCTGTGATCCTCTCAAACTGGACCTTCAGTCTCACTGAGGAGGAACTTCAGTCAGTAACTTTATTCTTCACGCTCACTGCAGACTCTTGTCTGTCTGACTGGGGTCGCGTTCAGATCTTATATTTAATGAGACAAAACCTCATTTCTACATTTAAACAAAACTCTGACTGTGATGACGACTGTGTTAATCAGCTGGGGGCAGATTCACAACGACATCAGTCAAAAGAAAGACAGAAAATCATCTGCTGCAGGCTTCACCTCAGCGACAGCACAAATGCACCGAAGTCACTCGCTCTCTGTGCCTCTTCACGAACTACTGGCAGGATTTTTTTTTAATGCTGAAAGAAGTTTTTGCAGTACTGTTTGGACTGAATAAAGATGAAAGCACTCCCTCTTTAACCTGACTTATAATTCAGAAAAAAGAAAAGAACGATGCTGTAGACTCTGTTTTAAACACTGCACATATTTCTGACCCTTCACCATTTATTGTTACATTGCTATTATTTATTGTCTTCACAAGCGTCGTCTTTTTAAAGAGTAAATAGCCTCCATAAAGACTGATTATTGATTTATTTTTTATGGGATCTTCGCGCTGCAGCCCGGTTTCACAATAAATCTTCATGCTGACTTATAAACTGAAACAGATTGAATGTTTCCACGGAGTGACGCGTCAGGAGGGCATCGTGTCGTACTCGGGATGAACGTCAAGAGGGGAGGAGTGGGGGCAGAATGAGACAAGTTAGTTAAGAAAACTGTGGTTGGTTTATGGTTCATGTTTAAATTATTCTTTATAAAGGTTTTTTTTTCCTTCAAACCTTTTTCCCCGTCTACGAATGTGGCAACCCACAGTGAAACAAACAAAAACAAAAAAAACGTCAAGCGTCTGCTTCTGTCACAGAGCGGCGGGATGCTGTTTGTCTCTCGTCGAGCCGAACATGAAAAACTTCGGTGTCCTACATTAATGAAACGTCGGCCGCGTCCATCTGCCAGCTCTCTGCCGCTGGCTGGCCCTCCTCGCGCTCTACAACATGCTGATGGCCCAGCGTCACGTGACCGTGGCCTACCGGAGGACACGTGTTGTTGGTGGCCGGTTTCCAGCCAAAGCTTCGCACTTTGATTCAATTACCGTCTCCAGCACGTGCGCTGCTTTCCTCCCATTGTCACTTGGAAATAACAAGTTTGTGTTGGCGCCTGGAGGCACAGCGAGGCGCTGGCTCGGTCTGCGCTGCGAAAACCGGTGGGCTACAACATGGCGTCCTTCCCGGCGGCTGCCCGGCTGCCAGGACGGGGCTTCCTGTCTCCCTGCGAGTGCCAGAGAGACAGAAGGGCAAGGTCAGCAGACAGATTGAGAGACGAGCGGTCGCAAGCCCGAACCTCATTAGCAACTTTACCGAGGGGAACCGGCTCGCGGTCCAAGTGATGGAAACAACTTGGTAATTGGGCCCAAAGGTGGCGTTGGGCAGCCGGCCCACGAAGGGAGAAACGGCACGCCTGTGTATATGTGTGTGTGAGAGTGTGTGTTTGTTAGGGACAGGCAGCCATCCATTTGGCTGAAGGCGTTGGAGCGAGCCCGTCCCCACGCTGCAGCCGCCGCCCTCCAGTCGCAGCACCGAGGGTCACCGGCGTCCTCAGAGACGCAGCTCCACCGCAGCTTCCTGCACGGACGCGGTGCCAAACTTCAGCCCAAACCGACAGGATGAAATGATGCAGGAGCAGGTGCTGCAGGAGGAGGAGGAAGCTGCCTGGTGGGACCGAAGTTTCAACAAGCATCCAACTTATTTTGAAGCGTGTTAGAGACGTTCTTCCCTCTGCAGGTTTCTGCGCTTTGAGGATGCAGGCATGAGGAGCAGCTGCGACTCCGTCAACGAAGCAAGCACGAGTTCTCGCTGTTGTGAAGTTTGTGGTTTGAAGCCTGACAGAGGTACAGTGAGCAAGCTTTTTCCATGATGAAATCATCAGCCTGACCTCACTGTAGCTTTTCTGTGTGACCCCGATCTGTATATCTGAGGAAACTGCTGCCCTATCTGAGTGTGAACACGTGGTAGGAGGCTTCCTCAGAACAGAGGTCTGAACGTCACATGTTGGATGGAGAATTTTTGTGGATCATTTTCTGCATCAGCTTACACAACACGAGTTTTTGTCCCAAACACAGTGAAAGCTCCTCTGCTGAAAATTAAACAACCAATAAAAACAAAAACACACATCTCGATCAATAAAGTAAAAAGTAGGACAAAACCAAAATCTTAAAAAGGTACAAACTTAGAGGAGCTGAAGAATAAATAAAAAAAATATATAAAAGTGGTTAATCATTTAAAATCTTCTCTCCTGTTGTTTTTGCGGCAGTGACGATCCGATTCATTTCAGTCTGATTAAATGTGTTTATGTTAGTAATAATTCATTTATTGGAATTCATAAACTCATTATTTTTGTTTCCATGGTTTCATTTATTTCTGTGAACTTTGACAGCTGGGACAAAAAATGATGATGTAATTATACCAAATTATTTTTGCCTCCACCTTTTTTAATTCCTGTTTATGGATGTAAGTCAGTGGATACGGCAGCACGCTGATGAAAAATCATGTTCAGGAAATAAAAATGAAACTTTTGCAAGGACATGAAAAAAAAAAGAGCAGAAATGTTGTGGCGTGATGGCGTGATGTCACAGCAGCTCAGGTGAGGACTGCAGCTTGAATCACTGATTAAACCTCACAAACGAGCGGAGGATGAGGCGAGCACAAAAGCAGCCATGAAAGGTTAACTCCCGCCCGCCTGAAGCCCTCGGGGCGCCCGCCACCTCCTCCCCCTCCGAGCTGGTAGCATGAAAACCTGTTTGGGGACAGTGCATCTGCTCCCTGTGCACGGCGCCATGAAATGGCAGAAGTCGCTCCAATCTGCTCCGTCCCGATGCCGTTCAGACAAAGAGGCGACCTCGCCGAGCGGCGGGCTGGAAGGGACGGAAGTGGACGGAGAGGCGGGCAGCGGCGGCCCCTGGCGAAGTGGCCCTGGCCCCATTTTACACCTGATTAGGAAACACATGCAGGACCGTGAGACATATGCTTCCCCTGCCACACGGCGGTCCCTGATGGACGCGCAGCACATGGAGCTAAAAGGGCGGAAAAGGCCAGACGCCGGTTTGCAGAAGTCCCGGGCGACCGAGCAGCATACCAGCGAGGGAGTCGAAGACGGAGGGACAAGGCAAGGCGGCGTTGCCGAGGGGCTTCCCGAAACCCGTCGACGACATCTTCTATACTTTCTGTCTGTTCTGTGTTTATCGTTGGTCTTGATGATGGTTTCTAACAGACGTAACATAAATACCCATGGATCATAATTTATATATAATAAGATTTAAACTCAAAATAGAGAAGATAAAAAGTAAATGAAGCGCAAATAAATAAATCATTAATTTTAAAATGGAACATAAATCCTTGAAACTTGTTTAGTTTTTTAATACACTTTTTATTCGATGTAAATAAATAAAAATATATAATTTTACTAAAAATTATCATAATATATATATAATTAAAATTTTAAGGTGTTTAAAAAAATATTTTGTCACAGCCAGAGGTGGGTAGTAACTAGTAATTATATTTATTCAGTTACATTTACTTGAGTGACTTTTTGGTTACTGTACTTTTTACTTGAGTAATACTATTATTATGAAGTATCACTACTCTAACTTGAGAAAAATTTCCGGCTAATCGACTCAGTGTGAGTAACTTCAGTGAATGAATAACAAGCACGTTTTAACCAAAAATGCATGAGACACAGACACAAACTTGCAGTTTATGTCAAAGTGATTCTTGTTTGTACAAAAGGTTTGTTGTTTTAATGTTATTCTGCCTGTTGTGCCATTTAGAGATGAAGTAAAGTAACACCATATATTGTCACTGGAAGTACTTTACCCTTTTCTTACACACACACACACACACACACACACACACACACACACACCCGCGTATGTTTTATATTGAAATAATATTAATTTGGAAAAGTGCTTAGATGTATTATTTTGTAATCATGTTATTTATTTTTGTTTCAAATACCAAATTTTGGACTAAACTTTATACTTCTGTCTGTCTGATTATCTCATTTTCAAACATAAATCGGATGTTATGATCATGTACTCAGTACTCAAATAGGCTATATACTTTTTTACTCTTGAGTAATTTCTTGGACGGCTACTTTTTACTTTTACTTGAGTAAAACTATGTTGAGGGAGTGTTACTATTACTTGAGTACCATTTTTGGCTCCTCTACCCACCTCTGGCCATGACTCAAGGATTAAAAACTAACATTAAAACAATTTTTAATATTTTAATAAACGTAGCACCTCACCATGTTTTCTTTCATCTGCTCAGATCTGATCGGTCAAAAGAACTCACACTACACAGAAAGCAGAAGCTTCATGTACAAAAGTCTCACCTACAGTTTCAATTTTGTGGCACATCAAAGTTTTGGTAGCAACTAAAACTGAAAAACTTGATTAGTCTGAAAGAGAAGAAAGAAAACTGAGGAGAAGATTTTTCTTCACTTTGTTTGATGTTCGATGGAGCATTTACCACCTTAGACCCAACCCTGCCGACCTTTGACCCCTCACCTCTGACACTGAGCCGCCCGTGCACGGGTCCGTCCACGGCCACCAGGTAAACGGCGTCAATGTTGTCGCTGTCGACTATCTGCAGCTGCTCCCAGGTGATTGGTCGGGACTGACCCTCCAACAGGTCTAGACCTGAGATGGCACACATGTTCACATGTTACCTCAACGAGTAAAATGCCATGAGACATTTTTCACGCCACAGAGATGGACGC